CGGCAAGGGGCTCCATCCTTTTGATCAACTGCTATCGTTGTTCGGTAGTCCGCGCTATGCCCTACAAAGCCACAAGATTATAAAAGATCACAGTCTCCAACGCCAAAGACAGACACTGCTGACGCAATACTTACCTCAATTTGCTTCATAGCTGTGGAAAGCGTGGACCATAGCCTCTTCACCTCCCTGGTGGTGTCCTCCTCTTCTACGACCACAATCTCCTCCCCTCGCTTGTGGAGGATGCGTACGGCTTGAGGTCATGGTCCTTCATGCTCAATCTCCTTGACCTCATCTTCTTCCTCCACAGCCGGTGACGCTCCTTGGGGGCTCGGTGGCCGCACAGAGCGACCGACCATGCCCTGCAGCATCTCAGGGCGCGCTGCTTGCTCCTTCGACGCTACCGGCCTCTGCACCCCAGATTCTAGCATGGCATCGGCAGCTCCCGCTCCCACCTCCAAAGACTCAGCGGCTCTCACCGTTGCTCCTGGTGTCTCCGATGAATCGCTCGCCGTTGTTGCCAACCGCTCTCCACCTCCAACTCCATTAGCAGCGGTGGTCGAATCCCTCGCAAACTGATGAGCGCCCAGGGACTCTATCTCTATGCCAGGACCAGCCCTTGGCTGCTTGCCAGTCTGGCCTAAAGGATTCAGATCCTCCGCGCGCCTAGTTCTGCATCAGATTAGTCCATTAATCACCACCACTATAAAGATCGGACAACAATCGATTCCAAAGCAAAGATACTTACACATTAGCTTCCTGATAAACGGTTCTAAACTGGCGTTGCCTCCTCGAGCACCTAGGCATTGCTCTAGGGTCAACCCACGTGTCCTAGACTGGAGGTCTTGCGGCCCCCGCCGTCAGCGTCTTCTCTGCCTGCTGCTCGGGGACTCCTTCCCCTCCCTTCGATGACGCTTTAGTGCTCGAAGGGGAGCTACTGGAGCCTCATCATCGTCCGACCACTCGGACACCGCCGTACTCTACATCCGAGCAGTCCGATCGACACCAAGTGAGATGCCGCCTGGTTTGCGGGGAGCTACATCCATCCTTCTTCTCTTCTTTCGGGCTGGCTCATCTTTTGCTGCCCTCTTCCCCTAAACTTTCTCCAACACCGGGGGGGACTCTCCTTCTGACCAGCACCTTCACCTCTGGATTCGGACGAGGCGCTGACGGTACCTTCCTCCAACTGAGTGGTTGGCTTGGCGTCCACTACCTTTGGAGAATCGCTCCTCGGCATGCCCGAGAAGTACGCCGCCCGTTCTTGCCAATGGATCTTTCCACAAGTGAATCAGTCCACTACTCAGCGTCGGCATGGGATAAAAAGCACAAAGAACAACAGTCGAGATTTTTACCTGAGGAGGTGGGCTTGTGCAGTTGAAGGGTTTCGACTGCCCTGGCACGGTGGATGACACGTTGGGAGCGAATAGTTTAGCGGCTCGGTGTAGCACAGCCTCCTTCGCCAGGTTCTTCGTCCTCTCCCGGGTGCCGTCGGTATTTCCTTTGAAGTCAAAGCCCGGATGAGCCCTCTCCTTGTAGGGCTGGATGCGGCGCAGTATGAAGTTCACCGCCACCACCACTCCATGCCCCTTATTAGCTCGAGGAGCTCCTTCAACTATCCCATATCAGCATTGGGCGGTTTATCCAACCAGCTCCTTTGATTTTCTGGAATCTGGTCGACGTCGCAATGGATGGCAGGATGACTCTGCTTCATATAGAACCACCTGGCATTCCACCCCTTCAGTGAGGTATTCAGTGGCATGGGAATGTATTCACCCACCATCCCGTCATGGAGCTATAGATACACACCGCCGATAATTTTGGAACCGCCCCCTCGTTTCTTCTTCAGCCAGAAAAGGTGTCGAAAGATATTGAAACGGGGAAGAATGCCAAGATAAACCTCGCAGAAGTGAATAAACACATAAATGTGCAAGATAGTGTTCAAATGAAGATTACACAAGCTCACTCCCCAATACTCCAACAGATCCCACAAGAAAGGATGTACCGGAAGCCCTAATCCACGCCAGAAGTAATCCTCGAATACAACAACTTCGTCGATGTGTGGCATCGGATAGGGCTCACCATTGGCCGGACGCCATCCAGCGGTGACACGGTCAGGAAGAACGCCCGCCTCCACCATCTCATTGAGCTCCATCTCCCCCATGAGTGACGGTACCCATTCCTTGTCACGGCTCGCCCCGGCGGCCGCCTTCTTCGTGTTACCACCTCCCCTCTTCGGCACCACCCCTCAGATCTGGAGTGCGTGTGAATGCAAATGGGGGAGCGCGAGGGCAAGGAGGAAGACGAAGTGGCGGAGTGGCAAAGGTGGGAGCACAGAGTGCGGCGATGTAGTTATAAAGATACCCTCTTGACTTTTCACATTTAAGGGTTTTTGGAAAACTGCACCATGCTGATTTGCGCCATTCCGAATTCCCCGAAGCGGCGTGCTGGGCCATTATCTGGGCTTCCGCGCAACTACGACCCATATCGCCCATTTTTCGACGCAACTTGGTACTACACACCGAATATTCACCGACCTCTCCACAATACCATCAAGGCTCAGTAATTTCTACTATACAGTCATTACTCTGGTTTTTTCTCCACGATTTGAGTAATCGACACTTCTTGATTTATCCGAGATTTTGGCTTATGGCTCGGGGACTACGTCATCATTATGATTCGGTTTTCACCGTACTAGGGACTTTTTCTTTTTGGTTACTGCTGTTTCTGACCCTGACACCAAGTGACCACGTCACCTACTTCAAGCTTGGCGACTAAGTGGGCACACTTCACCTTGCGGTGAATGTGCGCTTTTCATTTCAGGGTTCAGCCCGTGGACTAGTTGCCTGCTCGGCTGGTCTTTTGCCTTTCTTCTACTTTCTGGACCCTGGCACCACGTGACCACGTCACCTACTGTTAGGCTCGGGAACTAAGTGGGCACACTTCACCTTGCGGTGAGTGTGTTTTCTTTAATCTGGAAGACTCCGTGCCTCCTGAAGTTGAAGAAGATTATCTCCCTTTCTTGTGGTCGGACTCTAAGTGGGCACACTTGGTCCACTGCGAGGAAATTTTCGATTTTGAACTTGAGCTCCTTACATCCTTCTAGCAAGCCTTACTTGGGTAAGCCCGTGCTCGGCCGGATAGTTAAGATGGTCGGTCACGGTCCACAACTGCTCAGTGACTCATTAGAGTGGTTGGACTATGAGTCTGACTGCTCGGCTTTGTTTACACCTGCTCGGACAAGCTCAAGACGGCGTTGCACAGCGGATACAAGCCGCTCGGGGACTAGCTATGGGGGTACGACCCCGAAAACCCACGGCAGACTACATGGGTTGCGCTCCAAGGGGCGGTCTAGCCCACAAGACGAAGACTTACGGTATACGGTACTGCTTGGCGTGTACCGCAAGACATCAAGGGTGATATCCTGAAGATGCTATGAGATCTATTAGGATATGTTCGATCCCATGATTTCTGTAATCTGTTATTACTTACCAGTTATCTCCTAGATCTAACCGACTTAGAATCCTACCCCCTGGGCTATAGAAGGCGGGTAAGGGACCCCCTCAAAACACACGCAATGTCATACGATAGCCAATACAAACAAACAGACCACAGGAGTAGGGTATTATGTTGTGCTGACGGTCCGAACCTGTCTAACTCTTGTGTCTCTGTTGCCTTCTTGTTCTTGATTACACGCACCTCTGCCGATCAATCTACATTCGTGGGATACCCCTTGGAGGACTGCCGACCAGATTTCGTCGACGCCATCCCCCACGCTGTATCTGCCGCCCACGCTCCTCCCCAAGCCGGATCCACCATGGATGGGCACAGGAGCGGGTACCAGGACTACTTTTCCCGGGTGTCTTCTTCTTCTCCGGCTACCCCCTTCCATTCTTCCGCCGCCGGACCCGACGACGAGGATTTCGGCATGTTTTCCTAGTTGCCGTCGTATCCTCCGGCGCCCCCAGCCTCTCGACTCCCAGGGTTGGCTTGGAAAACCAAGATATGAACTCCCAGGGCAATGGCTTCCCCTTCCTCAACTCCTACTCGGGAATCCTGCAGTCGTAGGGAGGTCACAGTGAGCCACGGCTACCTCCTCTTGCCCCCGTTGTCGGTGGCGGGTAAGAGACCCCCTCAAAACACACGCAATGTCATACGATAGCCAATACAAACCAACAGACCACAAGAGTAGGGTATTACGTCATGCTGACGGCCTGAACCATGGAGCGTTCCAGCCTCCTCGTCCGAGCGGTGGGGGAGGCAGAGCTGGCCGTGGAAGCTTCCAGGCTGCACGCGGAGGAGGTCGCCGCACCAAGTCTCTCAACATTGGCGTGGGAACCGGCCGTCTGCCACAGGGATCTGCTCCCCACTTCACTCCTCCGGGGATGGGTGGCGGAGGCCGTGCTAGATTGATGGCTAACCGCCCTGGCCGTGGTTCCACTTCTGCCGGGAACTCCTTTTCTCCACAGGATCTCGGCTTGAACAACCAGTTGGAGCAAGAAGATGACAACGGCGGCCAGTTGGTAAGTGCCAGATCCTTGCTTTATGGTCCAGTACATCCTTTGCTCTGTCCATGAGTTCGTTTGCTATGTAGTTGTCCTCCATTTCGTATAATACAGATGTCTGTCCATGATCTATTAGTTAGTTGTTGCTAATTGTAGTGTTGGTTTGAGGAATTGTAGTGTGCTTGCTGGATAATCTTTGTCATGCCATGCGAGCTCAAGTGTCCATTGAGCTGCTAATAAATAGTCAAGTCGTGCTAATAGTGTATAGATGTTTGTTTTTTCCCCTGCTGTTCATGTAAGATAATAATTTCGATCGTTTTGATCAAACGCAATCATATGTACATCGTATTCTGCATATCTGCATGCAAAGTTTGAGTACTTTGTGTTAATAGTGTGACTATCAGTGAACGGCAAGTAATTAGGTTACACAACCAACGACCTCGTTCGTTTACTTAATTAACACGCAACATAGCTTGACATTAGTGAATTATTTTTTCTTCATCAACAAGGTTTTTTTGTTGTACAATCTCCAGGTGATCTTGGCTGAAAATGCTGCAAACACCCCCAGGTCAGCAACTTCTTCATTCGTCCCATGGTAGCTAGAGAAGAAACCGCATTGCCAGCACAGGGTCCGCATAGGGTAGCATCATCGCTCCGAGACCCCCCGACGCACAGATCAAGGCGGTTGTGCCTCTCCACCCCTACAGCGAATCTCATCATGCCACCTCCTGGCTCTGGAGCGATGCCTTGGAATAGTGGGATTACGTCATTGAAGCCACTAGTCTTGGCATATAGTTTCATGTTGACACCACCGGGAATAGTGTCGAGGCGGAGGGCTGTGACTTCAACCAGTGCCTCCACCGCGTTGATCATCACTATATACTTAATGTCCAGAGCACACCTTTCACCATAAAAGCGCCGGTAATCAATGAACGATTTCGACTCGAAAAAGTTATCGATCTCGGTGCATCATTCAATGATCAAGTCGTCATCAACATTGGTCTCATCTTCGTTTCGGGCATGGATCTCAAACTCGATGAATGAGCGAGTGATCATTGAAATGACTCGAGCAGGTCCGGTTGGTGACAACCTTGCAACACCCTGCAAACAAATCATGTCACAAATTTGAACTTTTTATCAGTTAATAGCCGAGGAACATTCCTGTCCATATGTCCATTGATTGCTTGCATATACTGCGAACAAAGGAACAATTTAGTTTTGAAAATATTACATGAAATCTTTTTTCTCGATAAAATATTACATGAAATCTTTTATAGTATGTCGCTAAGTTGTCTAACAAAGGTGGGCCGAAGCCTTTGATCTAAAAAAAACACTTGAAATCTTACAACATTGAATTCAGATGACAGATAAGTATAACAAATGTATAGACGTTGCCTACATTTGCAACTGCCAGTTCTAATAGATACACCCACTGATTCCTAAAGGAGCATAAAGCATGTAGATGTGGCAAGTTTAGAAAACAAATCACCATGCAGTTTCTTAGTCTCTTTACCAACTTAACATTGGCGCGACAATAATATATTTACAAAGTTTATGCCTAAATCAGGACGTCTCAAATGAATGGCAGTCTTCAGAATGAGAGCAGGCAAGACAAATGCAGTTTGCAATATGAATTACCACATTTACCTTCACATATATTGTTAGTTAGAATATGAAAATCAAAGTTGTTACATCAGGGATTCAGATCAGCATCAAATAGTTACAAAAATAAAGCCTTAATCTAGAGATGGCAAAATCACGCTTTAGTATGATGCTACTGTCTTTAAAATTGACAAAATGGTGTAAAGACAACTGCAAGCCTACAGAGCGTGGACAAACATATTTACCGTTTTTTGCTTCACAGGTACACTTTCACAATTTTCTATCTCACGACAGTAGACATAGTTGCGCAAGGGGTTTTCTGGTTCCCGTGCTGCAATGAAACCATATATCTTGACCTGTCCAGGATGTGTATGTCGATACCCAGCAATCTTGATATCAACAAATTGAAGCACACCCATTGGATAACACCAGCATTCATTTGGACAATCCCCAACACTATCGAGACTGACTGCAAAATGAATAACAGAAGCATATTTAGGATTAGTTCATTACTACATTATGTACAATAAACAATACCACAATGGAAGAGGGGCATGAGAAGGGCAACATACTTTGAGATTTATCAGCAAGATTATACTCTGAACCAAAGATATGTTTGCCAGATTTGAATGCGGGAAAGAGCCTTAATGGTAAAGGCCCTCGAACCTTAGTTTCTGGATTTTTATGCAAAACATCAGTCTGCTGCTTATGGTCACAACTGGGCCGTGGGATATCATCAATCGTAAAAGGTCGGTATATCCCTGCATTGAAAAAGAACTGAAATCAGCAATAGAGGGAAAAAAATGGTCTATGGAGGTTAATGAAAGCTTCATATGCTCTGTTGACATGATGGGTATTGTAGAGAATGAAATAACAATACATGCAAAAACACCCATATGTGTATCAGATAAGTATCGTATTCATTGCGTAGCCAGATTAAAATTAATCAATATTAATGATTAAGGATAAACTAAACAATTCGGATGCAGCCCAGCCTAGTAAGGGTAAATAACCTTCTCCATGTGCCTTTTCCAGAATCCACACCGTACTCTCACATGACTACTTGTCCTACTTGGGGAGGCCACCTCCACCACCAGCTATGCTATGGGCTTTTAATCTTATTACTAGTTATTATATATCCTTAAATATGCCTAGAATTTAGATTTGTATTCATACAACTTGTAGAGCATGATCGCAGTTAACTGTTGGTTTCATGGGAAATTAGATTCTTCCTCACATTTGAAATGCACAGCTTCTGCATGGAAACAGCCGCTCCCACTAGCTAGAACTTGAGTTCCCTTCGAAATTCCCATTAGAAATTAAGAATATTAACAGACATTCCATAAAAGAAGAAACCTAAAGAGTTTTTTTCCCCTGTTAAGTTTGGCATTATCAAACTAATTTAGCAGACCCGCCCGAGAAAAAGAGAGGAAAACATATATTAAGGAAAAGCTAGCAGTAAATTGTGGGTGATTTGGGTTTTACCTTTGTCCTCTTGATCCTCATCCTCGTCGCTGTCGCTAAGCAGCCATTCGCCGTAGCCATGGGTAGGATCGGATAAATCCTCATCGTCGCTCAGAGTGAGAGGCGAAGGCGATCGCTTCCTGCCGCGTTCAGCAACAGGTGTCGCGGTCAATCCGCCTCCCTCAGTCGCCATTGGTTTAATCTCGCTCTCCATGGGCCCTAGATGAAGAGGAGGGGCCGCCGAGTCACTCGTCTGTGGCAAAATCTCTTCTTAGTCCGTATGCTCCGGCGGGTTAGATGGCGGCAGGGCTAGGCGTCCGGCCGCTCGCCCAAACCCTAGGTGCGTCGGCGGGGAGGGGGAGAGAGGAATGCGCCCGTCGGGCTGGACGCTGGAGACGAGGGACCGACCGATCGGTGGGAGCAGATGAGGAATCTTTGGTGACTACTTTTTTTATAAAAAAAAACTTATTTTTTTGGTGGCTACTTTTTTTTTTATCGGATGTCTCCGAAGAGACTTTCGCTGGCTACTCCTTCCGTGCCTTAGATGATCGTTGTTTTCGCTTCTCGAGAAATAATTTAATTAAATATATAAAAAAATAATAATATTTATAGTATAAAATTAATATTATTAGATAAATCGTTGAGTTTATTTTTATGATAAATTTATTTAGAAATACAAATGTTATATGTATTTTTTATAAATTTAATCAAACTTATGGTATGGAAATAAAAAAATAATAATTAATTAGGGACAGAGGGAGTACTTTTTGAAGACTAAAGTTTCGCCCTCTGTCTGTCCAATGTCATCCCTGTCTCTGTGGAAAAAAAATCTCAAAAAATAGCGCCACTTGAGGCACTCAATCACAAAACCCCATGTTTTTTTTTAAGAAAACACTTTCATCCCAATACACCAAGCTAACAAATGTGCTCTTTGAAAAAAACTTTTTTTACATATAAACATCCGACCGACCGATCGGTGGGAGCAGATGAGGACGGCGCAACCCTCTGGTTTATGACGCCAGTGACCAAGCCAAACGTTGGCCGTGCTGAGAAATTTTTGGTGGCTACTTTTTTTATAAAAAAAAAGAGTAAAGCCCATCATCGATCCGTAAACTTGTACCGCTACGTTATCCTGATCCCTAAACTCATAAATCGATCGTTTAGATCGTCAAACTTGTTCCTCTGTGTCATTCCGGTCCCTAAACTTATAAATCACATGTTTAGGTCATCAAACTTGTTCACTTGTGTCATTCTAGTCCCTAAACTTGGTTTTGAGTCTCATCTGGATCAAAACAGGGTGATCTAAATACTTTATATAAAAAATAATTCATAATTTTTTCATATGAACTCGAATGAAGAGAAACTTTATATCAAAATTGTAGCCCTCGAAGCAATCTACAACTTTGCAGTTGATTTTTTTATTGAATTAAATGTGTTTAGGGCCCCCAAATATTGTTGTAAGTTTATATATTTTAAAATTTAAAATTTAAAATTAAATTTTGGGACACTAAATGACTTCAAACAAAAAACTTTTACAATACAAAGTTGTAGATCGTATTGAGAACTATAACTTTCATATAGATCATTTCAATATCCAAGATTATTTGATAATTTTAAATTTTAAATTTCAAAATCTGTAAACTTACAATAATATTTTGGGACCCTAAACAGTTTTAACTAAAAAAACTTTTCAACTACAAAATTATAGATCGTATTGAAAACTATAACTTTCATATAGACCATATCAATATCCAAGATTGTTTGATAATTTTAAATTTTAAATTTCAAAATCTATAAACATACAATAATATTTTGGGACCCTAAACAGTTTTAATTCAAAAAAAATTCAACTACAAAGTCGTAGATCGCGAGGGCTACAATTTTGATATAACGTTTGTCTTCATTCGAGTTCATATGAAAAAGTTATGAATTATTTTTTTATATAAAATTTTTAGATCACCCTATTTTTGACCTAGATGAGACTTAAAAGCAAGTTTAGGGACCGGGATGACATAACTGAACAAGTTTGAGGACGTAAACGGTTGATTTGCATGTTTAGGGACCAGGATGACACAGCCGAACAAGTTTAGGGACCGAGATGACACAGATGAACAAGTTTGAGGACCTAAACGGTCGATTTGCGAGTTTATGGACCGGGATGACACAACGGTACAAGTTTAGGGACCGGTGATGGACTTTATTAAAAAAAACTTATTTTTTGGTGGCTACTTTTTTTTTATCGGATGTCTCCAAAGAGACTTTCGCTGGCTACTCCTTCCATCCCTAGATGATCGTTGTTTTCGCGATAATTTAACTAAATATATAAAAATAATAATAATATTTATGGTATAAAATTAATATCATTAGATAGATCATTGAATATATTTTTATGATAAATTTATTTGGAGATACAAATGTTACACGTATTTTTTATAAATCTAGTCAAACCTATGACATTAAAAAATGATAGTTATTTAAAGACAGAGGGAGTACGAAGACTAAAGTTTCACCCTCCGTCTTTCCGATGTCTCTGTCTCTGTCGAAAAAAATCTCAAAAAATAGCGCCACGTGAGGCACTCAATCACAAAACCTCATGTTTTTTTTAAGAAAACACTTTCATACCAATACACTAAGCTAACAAATGTGCTCTTTGAAAAAACTTTTTTTACATATAAACATCCGTCCTTCGTCCGTCTTCCTTTGTTTCGTCACTCCCTCCATTGTTCTGTTTTATATAAAAATCTTAAAAAGTAGTGCTACTTAGGGCCTCAAGTATAAGACCTCATGTTTGAGAAAGCACTTTCGTACCAACTAGAATCAACCGAGCACACATCGTCTGATCCCCAAGTAAGGTCAGAGGTCAGAGTTGTCACCGGTCACCGCCCCAAAACGATTTTAGTCCAGTCTCCCTACAAAACTGCTCGGTCAAAATCATCTCCAAAATTCTGACTATAAGGTTGCAACACCAAATCCAGTCACTGATTGACATCGACCAGACAGGATTCCTGAAAGGGAGGTCGATTTTTGAAAACTTCATATATATGCAACAGAACCAGTGGTGTCGTTGGATGAAGCTGCTCCTAAAAACATCACGCTCGCCGACCCCTTGATCAAATGCAAGAAAGGTCTCCGCCAGGGAGACCCCCTTTCGCCATACTTTTTCCTACTAGTGGCTGACCGCTGACAATCTGCAGAGATGCATACAAACAGATGGTTCTGTACGCCACCCCGCTTGTTGATTGTATGCCGATGACACGCTCCTACTTGTGCGCGCCGAGCTGAAGGATAAGGAACTGAAGGGGATACTTGATGACTTCGCCGGAGCCACTGGATTGTGTATCAAGTGGCGCTTGTGTCGACACTGGATTGTGAAATTCTTCGGATGGCGCTTGTGTACCAGATGAGAGGCAATAAAAAAAAACTTGAAGAAGAAGAATGTAGTGGAGAATGACACTTGTGCCATGTGCGCGCTTGTGTACCGCTGTCAATCTGCAGAGATGCTACAGTGATCCTAAAAAAAACTATGACAGTCACAAACTTTGCATTAAAAAAGCGTGTGCTGTAAAAAGTTTATGACTGTCATAGTTTTTTTGCACACACTTAGCAAGTGTCTGTTTGCACACACCTTTTGGCTCCACATTGGCTGGAATCCAGCCTGCATCCCTGATGTACCTCTGCTGTGGAACGCTACCATCCCGCCTCACATGCCTCGGCGCTTCTCATCCACCTTCATCCTAATGTGTTGCTGGTAGCTGTGGAAGCACCGCAACAATGTCGTCTTCCGTGGTCAACAACCATGCCTACCTCAACTTGTACTAGCTTGCAAGCAAAATGCGAGCCTCTAGGGGCATTATCAAATCGTTTTGGGGCGGTGGCCGGGGACACCTCTGACCTCTGACCTTACATGGGGATCAGGACGATGTGTGCTCGGTTGATTCTAGTTGGTACGAAAGTGCTTTCTCAAACATGAGGTCTTATACTTGAGGCCCTACGTAGCACTACTTTTTAAGATTTTTATATAAAACAGAACAATGGAGGGGGTGACGAAACAAAGGAAGACGGACATAGGACGGATGTTTATATGTAAAAAAAGTTTTTTCAAAGAGCACATTTGTTAGCTTGATGTATTGGTATGAAAGTGTTTTCTTAAAAAAAAACATGAGGTTTTGTGATTGAGTGCCTCACGTGGCGCTATTTTTTGAGATTTTTTTTTCGACAGAGAGACAGAGAGAGACGACATCGGACAGACGGAGGGCAAAACTTTAGTCTTCAAAAAGTACTCCCTCTGTCCCAAAATAACTATTATTATTTTTTGTTTTCGTGCCATAAGTTTAACTAGATTTGTAAAAAATACGTATAACATTTGTATCTTCAAATAAATTTATCATTAAAAATAAATTCAACGATCTATCTAATGATATTAATTTTGTATCATAAATATTATTATTATTTTATATATTTAGTTAAATTATTTCTCGAGAAGCGAAAACAACAATTATCTAAGGGACGGAAGGAGTAGCCAGCCAAAGTCTCTTCGGAGACATCCGATAAAAAAAAGTAGCCACCAAAAAATAAGTTTTTTTTATAAAAAAGAGTAGCCACAAAAAATTAGACAACACAATCGGTGATTGAACAGTGCGACCAGCTCGTGTTCTATGCTCATCTAACTTCTTTTTCTCATACCTTGCACGAACCACCTCTCCGTCATGGTCCTCGCTGCATCCAATTTCTTCATGTATAAAATGCAAGCAGTTAGCAACGCGATTATATTATATTTAAAATTAGACAACGAAAAATGTGGCCTTCAAGCACCCACTGGCACATAATGCAACAACATGCTCGTTCAAGACATACATCTATACTCTTGTCTCCTCCCTTGCCTCCTTGCTTGCTCTCTCCTCCTCTAACACCCCCCGTCTCTTCAATTCCCATTTATCAAGCCCAACATCGATCGGGTTACGAATACCGCGCTGTCTAGCAAACTCACACATCTTGTCTTTGTGATGTTTAACGAATAGGTTGATGTAGTCAGGTCCATATCCCCTCTTCCGTGCAATTACTTGCCTCCCCATCAGTTCATCCAAGTACTTAGCTTGACCATCATAACATTTCCACCTGCATTTTCTAGTGCTCTGTTTAAACGAAAAATTATATCATATATATCTTAGCAAAAGAAACAAAATATGATTTCATGTTTATCACAAAAATAACCAACTTCATCATAGTCAACCATATCGCCACAATAATGGTCAATTCCAAGCTCCGAAGAGACTAGGTCATAGTTGAATTTAACACCACATTCGCACATGACAGGAGGTGCTTTGTAAATTACTCTTTCTTTCTTCTTTTCCTTAACCTTTGGCGGTTCTTTCGGCCATTGGTTCTTAGGACCATACAATCACTCCTTGAGACACTTTGCCATTGAAAACACCTAAATAAGGTGACATTAGTACATGAACACATATAGCTCAACATTTGAACACATGCACTTTGCACTTACTTCATACTTGTTTGGACACACAAACTCCAATGTATTCTCAGGGTTTATCACAGCTCGATCTTCGCAATCGCACAGAGGAGGTTCGCCACATTATACTCCCGCCGCGTCACCATGCATGATGCGGTACAGGCATTTCGCCGCGCCATGGCAATAGGCGCAGCCAAAAATGTTAGTTTTAGAGAGAAAAAAACAAACAATGTTAGATTTAAAATTAGTTTAAAAAAGTGTTAAAAAAAATCACCTTACTTGGGGATCAGGACGATGTGTGCTCGGTTGATTCTAGTTGGTTCGAAAGTGCTTTCTGAAACATGAGGTCTTATACTTGAGGTCCTCGTAGCACTACTTTTTAAGATTTTTATATAAAACAGAACAATGGAGGGAGTGACGAAACAAAGGAAGACGGACATAGGACGGATGTTTATGTGTAAAAAAAGTTTTTTCAAAGAGCACATTTGTTAGCTTGGTGTATTGGTATGAAAGTGTTTTCTTAAAAAAAACATGAGGTTTTGTGATTGAGTGCCTCTTGTGGCGCTATTTTGTGAGATTTTTTTCGACAGAGAGAGAGACGACATCGGACAGACGGAGGGCGAAACTTTAGTCTTCAAAAAGTATTCCCTCTGTTCCTAATTAATTTTTTTTTTCTGTACCATAAGTTTAACTAGATTTGTAAAAAATACATGTAACGTTTGTATCTCCAAATAAATTTATCATAAAAATAAATTTAACAATCTATCTAATGATATTAATTTTATATGATAAATATTATTATTATTTTTATATATTTAGTTAAATTATTTCTCCAGGAGCGAAAACAACGATCATCTAACAGGACGGAAGGAGTAGCCAGCGAAAGTCTCTTCGGAGACATCCGATAAAAAAAAAGTAGCCACCAAAAAATAAGTTTTTTTTAAATAAAAGGTAGCCACCAAAAATTCCTCAGCACGGCCAACGTTTGGCTTGGTCACTGGCGTCATAAACCAAAAGGGTTGCGCCGTCCTCATCTGCTCCCACCGATCGGTCGGTCCCTCGTCTCCAACGTCCAGCCCGACGGGCGCATTCCTCTCTCCCCCTCCCCGCCGCCGCACCTAGGGTTTGGACGAGCGGCCGGCCGCTCGAAGCCCTGCCGCCGCCTAACCCGCCGGAGCATACGGACTGAGAAGAGATTTTGCCACAGATGAGTGACTCGGCGGCCCCTCCTCTTCATCTAGGGCCCATGGAGAGCGAGATTAAACCAATGGCGACTAAGGGAGGCGGATTGACCGCGACACCTGTTGTTGAACGCGGCAGGAAGCGATCGCCTTCGCCTCTCACTCTGAGCGACGATGAGGATTTATCCGATCCTACCCATGGCGACGGCGAATGGCTGCTTAGCGACAGCGACGAGGATGAGGATCAAGAGGACAAAGGTAAAACCCAAATCACCCACGATTTACTGCTAGCTTTTCCTTAATATATGTTTTCCTCTCTTTTTCTCGGGCGGGTCTGCTAAATTAGTTTGATAATGCCAAACTTAACAGGGGAAAAACTCTTTAGGTTTCTTCTTTTATGGAATGTCTGTTAATGTTCTTAATTTCTAATGGGAATTTCGTAGGGAACTCAAGTTCTAGTGGGAGCGGCTGTTTCCATGCAGAAGCTGTGCATTTCAAATGTGAGGAAGAATCTAATTTCCCATAAAACCAACAGTTAACTGCGATCATGCTCTACAAGTTGTATGAATACAAATCTAAATTCTAGGCATATTTAAGGATATATAATAACTAGTAATAAGATTAAAAGCCCATACCATAGCTGGTGGTGGAGGTGGCCTCCTCCAGTAGGACAAGTGGTCATGTGAGAGTACGGTGTGGATTCTGGAAAAGGCACATGGAGAAGGTTATTTACCCTTACTAGGCTGGGCTGCATCCGAATTGTTTAGTTTATCCTTAATCATTAATATTGATTAATTTTAATCTGGCTACGCAATGAATACGATACTTATCTGATACACATATGGGTGTTTTTGCATGTATTGTTATTTCATTCTCTACAGTATTCTTAATTTCTAATGGGAATTTCGAAGGGAACCCAAGTTCTAGTGGGAGTGGCTGTTTCCTTCTCCTACCTGTGTTCTGCAGAATCTGTGCATTTCAAATGCGAGAAAGAATCTATTTCCCCATAAAACCAACAGTTAACTGCGATCAGGCTCTACAAGTTCTATGAATAAAAATCTAAATTCTAGACATATTTAAGGATGTATAATAACTTGCAATAAGATTAAAAGCCCATAATCATATTCATAGCCGGTGCTGGAGGTGGCCTCCCCGAGTAGGAGGTGGCTTAGTCACTGGGCACTAGGAAGCAAGTGGTCATGTGAGAGTAGGGTATGGATTCAGTAAAAGGCATGGAGAAGGTTATTTACCCTTACTAGGCTGGGCTGTATCCGAATTGTCTAATTTATCCTTAATTATTAATATTTAGTTTAATCTGGATACTCAATGAATACGATACTTATCTGATATGCATATGGGTGTTTTTGCATGTATTTTTATTTCATTCTCTACAATACCCATCATGTCAATGAACAGAGCATATGAAGCTTTCATTAACCTCCGTAGTCCATTTTTTTCTCTATTACTGATTTCAGTTCTTTTTCAATGCAGGGATATACCGACCTTTTACGGTTGATGATATCCCACGGCCCAGTTGTGACCATAAGCAGCAGACTGATGTTTTGCATAAAAATCCAGAAACTAAGGTTCGAGGGCCTTTACCAATAAGGCTCTTTCCTGCATTCAAATCTGGCAAACATATCTTTGGTTCAGAGTATAATCTTGCTGGTAAATCTCAAAGTATGTTGTCCTTCTCATGCCCCTCTCCCATTGGGCTACTGTTTATTGTGCATAATGTAGTAATGAACTAATCCTAAATATGCTTCTGTTATTCATTTTGTAGTCAGTCTCGATAGTGTTGGGGATTGTCCAAATGAATGCTATTGTTATCCAATGGATGTGCTTCAATTTGTTGATATCAAGATTGCTGGGTATCGACATACACATCCTGGACGGGTCAAGATGTATGGTTTCATTGCAGCACGGGAACCAGAAAACCCCTTGCGCAACTATGTCTACTGTCGTGAGATAGAAAATTGTGAAAGTGTACCTGTGAAGCAAAAAACGGTAAATACGTTTGTCCACACTCTGTAGGCTTGCAGTTGTCTTTACACCATTTTGTGAATTTTAAAGACAGTAGCATCATACTAAAGCGTGATTTTGCCATCTCTAGATTAAGGCTTTATTTTTGTAACTATTTGATGCTGATCTGAATCCCTGATGTAACAACTTTGATTTTCATATTCTAACTAACAATATATGTGAAGGTAAATGTGGTAATTCATATTGCAAACCGCATTTGTCTTGCCTGCTCTCATTCTGAAGACTGACATTCATTTGAGACGTCCTGATTGAGACATAAACTTTGTAAATATATTATTGTCGCGCCAGTGTTAAGTTGGTAAAGAAACTAAGAAACTGCATGGTGATTTGTTTTCCAAACTTGCCACATCTACATGCTTTATGCTCCTTTAGAAATCAGTGGGTGTATCTATTAGAACTGGCAGTTGCAAATATAGGCAACGTCTATACATTTGTGATACTTATCTATCATCTGAATTCAATGTTGTAAGATTTCAAGTTTTTTTTAGATCAAAGGCTTCAGCCCACCTTTGTTAGACAACTTAGCGACATACTATAAAAGATTTCATGTAATATTTTATCGAGAAAAAAGATTTCATGTAATATTTTCAAAACTAAATTGTCTCCTTTGTTCGCAGTATATGCATGCAATCTATGGACATATGGACAGGAATGTTCCTCGGCTATTAACTGATAAAAAGTTCAAATTTGTGACATGATTTGTTTGCAGGGTGTTGCAAGGTTGTCACCAACCGGACCTGCTCGAGTCATTTCAATGATCACTCACTCATTCATCGAGTTTGAGATCCATGCCCGAAACGAAGATGAGACCAATGTTGGTGATGACTTGATCATTGAAGGATGCACCGAGATCGATAACTTTTTCGAGTCGAAATCGTTCATTGATCACCGGCGCTTTTATGGTGAAAGGTGTGCTCTGGACATCAAGTATATAGTGATGATCAACGCGGTGGAGGCCCTGGTTGAAGTCACAGCCCTCCGCCTCGACACCATTCCTGGTGGTGGTGTCAACATGAAACTATATGCCAAGACTAGTGGCTTCAACGACGTAATTCCACTATTCCAAGGCATCACTCCGGAGCCAGGTGGCATGATGAGATTCGCCGTAGGGGTGGTGAGGCACAACCGCCTTGATCTGTACATCGAGGGGTCTCGGAGCGATGATGCTACGACCCTGTGCTGGCAGTGCGGTTTCTTCTCTGGCTACCATGGGACGAATGAAGAAGTCGCTGACCTGGGGGTGTTTGCAGCATTTTCAGTCAAGGTCACCTGGAGATCGTACAGAAAAAAAACCTGGTTGATGAAGAAAAAATAATTTACTAATGTCAGCTATGTTGCGTGTTAATTAAGTAAACGAGGTATTTGGTTGTGTAACCTAATTACTTGCCGTTCATTCATATCGTTGAACATATATTGTTGGCATGCCAAGTATCAATTAGACTCTCTGATGTTCTTCCCGTCTCATGCGTATGGTATATTTAGTTGTTCTTTCCTTGTGTGTTCTTCAGTTTTCAGTTCTATCTGGTTTTGCTTTCCTGTGTAGGGTCTGGGTGAAAAAAGTCAACTTCCCATGTCCCCCCGCCCCCCCGGGTTCATAATATGTGAAGATAATTTGGGGCACCTGGTGAGAAGAGTAGACAAATCTTGTTCTGGGGGTCATGGTAACTAGCCTTGGTTAAGGCCTAGGTGGTCGGATTCATCTTGGTGCTACTCACCCCAGTACTCGCATAGTAATCAGCTGTCCACTAAATTAAACAATTTAATAGCAAAAGGAATTTGAAATATAATCTGACGGAGCAACGAGCAGAGAAGAGAGATCCCTAAGCCATGGCAGCAGCAAGGAAGAAGCGTCCTCCTTTGCCTCCTACTCTTACTAGCAGGGGACCATTAATTAGTATCATTAGATAGATTGGACCCTTAATTAGTATTATTATATAGATATTTGAATCTATTTTTATAGTAAACTTATTTAAAGGTACAAATATTATTAATATTTTCTACAAATCAGTCAAACTTAAGAAAGTTTGACCGGCACGAATACCATAACGACACTTATTTTGGGATGGAGAGAGTACAATCTTGTTGATAAATCAAAATATGTGTGTTTTTTTGTCCCTATCATGCATCATGTGTCACCTGCTACTAATTTACCATATATTAGGACCGGATTGAACCAACGGTCGGACCGGTAAAAGGCCGAACTAGAGCCTACAACGGTTTGGTTTGCTTCAAAACCATTCATGCAATTGGACCGGTAAAAACCGAATGAACCGGTCAGTTTTTTTATAGAACTAGAGCCTGGACCGGTAAAAGGCCGAACTAGAGCCTACAACGGTTTGGTTTGCTTCAAAACCATTCATGCAATTGGACCGGTAAAAACCGAATGAACCGGTCAGTTTTTTTTATAGAACCAGTGAACTGGCCGGCTATCGGCGCACGTGCCCAGCGTGCTCACCTGTGCACCTGCCACCGCATTGGCACGATCAAAATGGTTAGATTTGCATATTATTTTCAGGAGCAGATTAAAATGTCCCTATCTCTACAACTAAAAAGCGACGAATATCCATGTCAACCCGGCAGGATCAACGAAGCCCGTCGTGAATTATTTCTCCCACCACACGGTATGCCACTGCGTGAACTTCCCTACCACGTCATATGCCACTCCAAGGATAATTTTTTTCCACACCCCGCACCATGCCACTCAACAATCACGTCCAAGCACATGTTTCCCTCTGGCCCCGTCCGTCGCCGCACCACCTTGTTTTTCGAGTCGGATTTTTCTTCCATGTTATATTACTTTTTGAGAAATGCTATCTCATGCCCGGTTGTTTTCGCTCCCTCCAGCAACCTGTTTTTTGTTTGTCGGATTTGGCATGTGTCGCTGCGTCTGCCATCTGGTCTGCCACCCGATTTGTCTTCGGCGCTCTTGTTTCTCTGTGTCTCTGTCATGTGGGGCCCGCACGGCGGAGCTAGTTTTTGTTTTGGGGAGTCACGCCCGAACGTGTAGCGTCCGTTTCCCCTTCTCCACATTTCATTTCGTCTCGTCTTCCTCGCGGTGCTCTCGTTCACCATCGGAATCGTTCATTGATCACCGGCGCATAGGTGTGCTTCGGACATTAAGTATACAGTGATGATCAGCGCGGTGGAGGCACCGGTTGAAGTCACAGCCCTCCGCCTCGACACCATTCCTGGTGGTGTCAACATGAAACTATACGCCAAGACTAGTGGCTTCAATGACGTAATCCCACTATTCCAAGGCATCGCTCCAGAGCCAGGAGGTGGCATGATGAGATTCGCTGTAGGGGTGGAGAGGCACAACCGCCTTGATCTGTACGTCGAGGGGTCTCGGAGCGATGATGCTACCCTGTGCGGACCCTGTGCTGGCAATGCGGTTTCTTCTCTAGTTACCATGGGACGAATGAAGAAGTTGCTGACCTGGGGGTGTTTGCAGCATTTTCAGCCAAGATCACCTGGAGATTGTACAACAAAAAAACCTTGTTGATGAAGAAAAAATAATTCACTAATGTCAAGCTATGTTGCGTGTTAATTAAGTAAACGAACGAGGTTGTTGGTTGTGTAACCTAATTACTTGCCGTTCACTGATAGTCACACTATTAACACAAAGTACTCAAACTTTGCATGCAGATATGCAGAATACGATGTACATATGATTGCGTTTGATCAAAACGATCGAAATTATTATCTTACATGAACAGCAGGGGAAAAAACAAACATCTATACACTATTAGCACGACTTGACTATTTATTAGCAGCTCAATGGACACTTGAGCTCGCATGGCATGACAAAGATTATCCAGCAAGCACACTACAATTCCTCAAACCAACACTACAATTAGCAACAACTAACTAATAGATCATGGACAGACATCTGTATTATACGAAATGGAGGACAACTACATAGCAAACGAACTCATGGACAGAGCAAAGGATGTACTGGACCATAAAGCAAGGATCTGGCACTTACCAACTGGCCGCCGTTGTCATCTTCTTGCTCCAACTGGTTGTTCAAGCCGAGATCCTGTGGAGAAAAGGAGTTCCCGGCAGAAGTGGAACCACGACCAGGGCGGTTAGCCATCAATCTAGCACGGCCTCCGCCACCCATCCCCGGAGGAGTGAAGTGGGGAGCAGATCCCTGTGGCAGACGGCCGGTTCCCACGCCAATGTTGAGAGACTTGGTGCGGCGACCTCCTCCGCGTGCAGCCTGGAAGCTTCCACGGCCAGCTCTGCCTCCCCCACCGCTCGGACGAGGAGGCTGGAACGCTCCATGGTTCAGGCCGTCAGCATGACGTAATACTCTACTCTTGTGGTCTGTTGGTTTGTATTGGCTATCGTATGACATTGCGTGTGTTTTGAGGGGGTCTCTTACCCGCCTTATATAGCTGGGGGGTAGGGTTACAAGTCGTTTAGATCTAGGAGATAACCAGTAAATAATAACAGATTATAGGAATCATAGGATTGAACATATCCTAACAGATCTCGTAGCATCTTTAGGATATCACCCTTGATGTCTTGCGGTACACGCCGAGCAGTACCGTGCACTGTAAGTCTTCATCTTGTGGGCTGGACCGCCCCTTGGAGCGCAACCCATGTAGTCTGCCGTGGGTATCCGGGGTCGTACCCCCATAGCTAGTCCCCGAGCGCCTTGTATCCACCGCACCACCCTGTTTTTCGAGTTGGATTTTTCTTCCATGTTATATTTCTTTTTGAGAAATGCTATGTGATGCCCGGTTGTTTTCGCTCCCTCCAGCAACCGGTTTGCTGTTCGTCGGATTTGGCACGTGTCGCTGCGTCTGCCATCCGGTCTGCCGTCCGATTTGTCTCCGGCACTCTTGTTTCTCTATGTCTATGTCATGTGGGGTCCGCATGCCGGCGCTACTGTTTGCGTTTTGGGGAGTTGCGCCCGAACGTGTAGCATCCGTTCCCCCTTCTCCACATTTCATTTCGTCTCGTCTTCCTCGCGGTGCTCTCGTTCCCCGTCGGCAGCGACCTTGCGGTGCTCTCGTTCCCCATCGGCGGCGACTAGCGATTTCTAGGATTTGGCCAGGTTTGTTTGCTTCTGCTCCCTTGTTTGCTAGTAAATCATTGTTGTTAGGGTTGGTTCTCGCATTAGTGATGTGCTTGGATGAGGGGATCAAGTTTATTCCTTGTGAATCTGTTTTTTTTCTGGCGCTGGTTCGATGTCTTCTTCATTTCGTCGCTGGGATTTTGATGCGGCGCGGATGCGGGCTCTGTGTTCGTCGCCATGTTTGGTTTGGGTTTTATTTAAATTGATTGTGTGATTTTTGGCATGAGAACGAATGATCCGTGGCTCCGCTTCGTGTTTTTTTTGCCGTGGGGATTAGCTACATGGTGACGAGATTTATGGTGATTTCATCCTGACTCTTAGGTTTTAGCCTGTAGTTGTGCGTCAGATCTGCTTCGCAAGGTACATCTGCGCTTGCCCCCTCTCTGCTTGCTGGTTGGATCCCCACGAGGCCATGACCATGATTTGAGTTCTAGCTAGTTTGATTGGCGTGATTAGCTAGCTGGTTCGTCCTTCGCCTTGGGCATTTAGGCACAGCAAGTGGGTGCTGTTGTCAGGAAACGACAGCAACGAAGATCCATTTCTGGACATCTGGGCTCATCAAAATTCAGAAGGAAGTAGCTGTGTACACGATCCATTTTTCTATCTTGAACTTTTGCCTTTTGTGGCGTGTCTTTTTTTCTTCCCAGAAAAAAAATTAGGGGCCTGAGGAGGCAAGGCAACCATGTATGTACGTTCTAGTTGCTTTTCTAGCTAGATCTTTGCAACATACTCCTAGCAACCAAGATCCTACTACTCCTACACCGCCATGCAGATGGTGCAAAAGATAGAAAGGAAGCTAGCTAGCTGATCTGTTATTAGTTTCGAGGAGGAGCAAGACAAGGCAAGAGGCAATTTACCATCATGTTGAGCATGGGTGGTGGTGGTATGGCAGTGCCTCTCTGCAGGAAGAGATCCAGAGATATGAGTTTAGATAGTTCAGTTATCAGTTTTTGTCTCAGAGTTTTTTGTTTTTTATTTTTTTTTTATTTTCATTTAGTTTTACTTTTCAGTTAATTTTCAGTTGAGTTTCAGTTTCATTTTAGTATAGTTTCTGTTTCTGTTTATTATAGTTTCTTTTTTATTTCTCTATGCTGTTGATGAATTTCAGGAACAGCTCAGGGACAAGAAGAAGGCCTCATCTGCTATACCAACGTTAGGTCAGCTCCATGAGCTCTGTCATCTCCTTCGTACCTGATTTTTTGTTTGTCTCCCCTGTTCTTGATCTTTAA